TCCCATAGACATTAAAATGACAATAAAGGGATATTAAGAACAATTCCCTACCCACAAATTTGATAACCTAGATGAAATGAACCAATTCCTTGAAAGACATGATTTGCCAAAATTTGCACTTGAAGAAATGGACAATCAGAATAGGCCCATGTCAATTAAAGAAATTAAATCAATAAATAATAGCCTGCCAAAAGGCCCAGATGAGTTCACTGATGCACTCTACCAAGAATTTAAGAAAGGAATTACATGAGTTATCTACAATCTCTTCCAGAAGATAGAAGCAGAGGGAACACTTCCTAACACATTCTATGAGGCCAGCATTACCTTAATACTAAAACCAAAGATATTACAAGAAAAGAAATTACATAACAATATCTCTCATGAACATAAATGCAAAAATCCTCAACAAAATATTAGAAAATACAATTCAATAATATATAAGAAGAATTAAACACTACAGTCAAGTAGGCTTTATTCTACTGATAGGCTGATTCAACATTCAAATATCAATATGATCCATCACATCACCAGAATAAGGAAAAAAAATCATATGATCACATCAATAGTTGCAGAAAAACATCTGACAAAATCTCACACCAATTCATGATTAAAAACTCTCAGCAAATTAAGAATGGAGGGAAACTTCCTCAATTTGATAAAAAATATCTAAAAAAAGTCTACAGCTAACATCATGCTTAATGATGAGGAAGTAGATACTTTCCTGCTAAGATCAGAAACAAGGCAAAGATGTCTACTCTCTGATTCTGATTCAACATCATACTGGAAATCCCAGATAATTCAATAAGACAAGGAAATAAAAGGTATACAGCTTGGAAAGAAAGAAAGAAAATTATATATATTCACAGAGAATATGATTGTCTATGTGTAAAATCCCAAAGAATCAGCAAAAAAAACCTGCTGGAACTAATGAGCAATTGTAGCAAGGTTGCAAGATACAAAGTTAAAATACAAAAATCAACCGCTATCTTGTATACTAGTAATGAATATTGGAATTTGAAATAAAAAACACGTTTACGTTAGCACCAAAAAGTGAAATACTTAGGTATAAATCTAATAAAATATGTTCAAGATGTATATGAGGAATACTATAAAACTCTGATAAATCAGTGATCTAAATAAATGGAGAGATATTCTATGTACATGGGTAGGAAGACTCAATATTGTGAAGATGTCAGTTCTTCCCGACTTAATCTATAGATTTAATGAAAGTCCAGTCAAAATCTAGCAAGTTATTATCAATAGATTTGATTCTAAAATTTATATAGAAAGACAAAAGATTGAGAATCTCCAATACAATATTGAAAGGGAAGAAGAAAGTCAGAGGACTGATGTTACCTGACTACAAGACTTAAAAGACTTCATACAAAGCTACAGTGATCAGGGCAGTGTGGTATTGACAACCTTAAGTTCTATGCCCTGCAAATAAAATCCTTTAAAAATTGAGGCCACTGTGAAAGGAGGGCTGAGTATCTGCAGTGACCCCATCCCCTCCACAGATGTGACCCAGATTCTGTATCACCGTTGGCTCCCAACACACAGCAGCAGTGACGCCTAGTGGAGCCTAGGTTCTGGAGTTGGCACTGATGCTACTGACCCAGGCAGAAGGACTTTATAAAATGAAACAAAAGACATACAGTAACTCTGGGGCTTTCATTTTGACATCATTAAGTTGTTCTTTTATAATTAGGCTTTAAAATAAGAATGATCTGCCCACCACCACCAAAAAAAGTTATATTTCATTTTTATCCCAGAAGGTTGAACACTCTTTCTGCATATAAAAGGGGTTTGCTTAAGTCATTTTTTTCCATAATAAAGATCTTCTTCTCTACCATGGCTGAATTCTTTACTTTCAGAAACATGTTATAAACTCTTAATTGGCAATTTCTCTTTCAAATAAATAAATTACAAACAAGAAACAATGATCACTTCATCAGGCATTTGGCCATCTTCACCACCAAGCCTGGTAAGAGCCTCTGTTCTCCACATTCATAGGTGGACCATTGACCCAAACCCTGGCACCCTCCAGGATTCCAAGACCAGCTTCTGCTCACTGTTCTATCCTTTTTCCTATGGGCAGAGGCTGCGTGGAGAGAATTGCTCATGGCAGAGTCCCGGGTGATGGATAGAAGAGGCTCTGGGTCTGAGTCTGCCAGAGAGATACTAAGAGAGTGAGATTTTGTTTAAAGAAACAAAGATGGCAAATTCAGCTGATAGAATGATGTACTCCCTCTGCAGAGGTAACCACTGTTCTGAAGATGACCGAGTGCTGACAATGGCAGGGCCACATGATGAAGGGAGGCTGCATCAATGAGTCACTCCATTGGAGACCACTTGGACTGAACTACCACAAGGCTCCATTGAAAATACATGAAATGTTAAGACATTGACAGTTCCTGCTGATGTCTCCTGAGTTCTGATAATTGAAATCCAGATCAGTGATGTAATGCCTTTGGTGAGGAGCTTCATTTCTCTGACCCTGCTTGTCTGTGCTGACCAAACACAGGCTCAAGCAAGCCTACAGGGAAGGGAGATCCCTGTAACCTTTCTAGACAGGACCAGGCTTCAAGGCTACAAAATGAAACTTCAAATCAGAAGAAGGAGGCTTGCCTAGGAACATGGGCATGTGAGTTCTCTACTGCAACTTGTCTTACCATTATGTCCAGACACGCTTGTGTGCAGAGAATGCATTATAGTTATAGCATGACACTACTTTAATCTTCTAGTTTTGTGTAATGTCAGGTGGGGCCTAGAGTAGCCAGAGCTCACGGGCTAGTTTCCTCTGGCTGCAGTCAGTCTTTTATATTCCCCCAATGCACAGTACAAATAATATCACTTTCTGTGTGTGCAGTAATGAACAGAACAAAGAAGGTAATGTTTAGCCACCTAGGCCTCACTTGCCCTGCCCCACTGATGGTTGCTAGGCACTTGTTTTAGAAGTACACCACTTCACAGAGTTGCAAGCAGGCAAGTGTGGTCCACAGAATACTAACAACCAGGGGCCGAGCTTCATTGCCTTTGGAGCCATGGAGGGCCTTCAGACTGCAACAAAAATATCTGTCCAGTTAGTCCTGGAGCAGTGCTCTGGTGGTGGGATCTGAATACTTGAGACAAAGCCCTTTGGGTTTCCTTTGAGTGTGTGCTATGATTTTTTTTTTTTTTTAGTAAGAAGCCAACATACTTTAAAGAGAAATAAAGAGCTAGCCAAATACTTTTCTGCCTTGGTTGAAGAATATTGTTGTGTCAGTGAAAAGATTAAAGAGTTTACACAAAGCTATGAAGCCCTCGAGTCACTTCTCACAGAGGCCAGGCCTCTGAAGGTAACACTCTGTGTTTGGCAGCACTTAATAGAAATATGACCAGGTCCATCTCTTCACTTGAGGATACAGTAGACCTCTCAAAAATGAATGGAAAAGTGGACTCTCTCGTGTGATAATGGCTCATCTTCAAGGACAGACATGATTGGTCAAAGATGGATGAAAATCCTTCCAATCCAAGGCCAGTGCTGGTGGTCTAGTGGTTCAGTTCAGCGCACTCCACTTCTGCAGCCCAGGTTTGGCTCCTGGGCATGGACCTGCACCACTCATCTGTCGGTGGCTATGCTTTGGTGGTGGCTCACACACAAAAAGAGGAAGATTGGCAGCAGATGTTAGCTCAGGGCAAATCTTCCTGAGCAAAAAAATAAAATCCTTCCAATCCCAACTAACTAAGGCCAAAGCCATCTCAGAAAAAAATATAGAACAACTTCAGAGGGAAATAATGAAGGGTTTGGATGAAAACACTCATTTATAAGAAAGCCTAATCTGCTTTCCCAAAAAGATGGTGGATAGAAAGAGTATAGGAACTGAAGGACCAGGAAAATAAAAATGCTTGGAAAGTATTACACATGAATAAGACAGGCTGTAAATGATAAAGAGAGCTCTTAAAACCTCTGACTGAAACCATGCTGCAGGTGATACCTGTAGCTACCGATTGTGGAGAAGATCACACAGATGATGGCAACTTCCTTCTTCCAAAGGAGGAGAGTCATGCCATGAGGTCACAGGGATCCAGGGTCACATGCACTTTCAACTCAGACTTCAAAGTAGCCAATCCCTGAACACCCACACCCACTGCCGGACATCTGCACCCCCCCCCCCCTTTAAAAGTAATTTAGATTTACCTCTATTTAGTTTAACTGCTGCTACTTAATTGATTCTTTGTTTGCTCTTATTGATGTTTGATAGAATTAGAATTACTAAGACTGTTTTTAAATATAGGTGGTTTTAATTTAATTATGATACATTATTTCCATTTCATTGGATATTCTAGAATTAGACAGCATAAGTATTATATTTTTACTATTATTTAAACCATCACTAATGGTTTACAAAACCAGGTGCAGATATTTGAAACAAAACAAAAGAGTATTTCAATATCTCTTTTATTAGAAATCTGGAAAAGTAGCTTAATATTCCCCTCAATAAATTTTTATTGGTTTTACTAGTTTTAAGAAAACAAAAAACCTAAACAACAACAAAGGCATTCCCAGTTAAACCTATCAGTATTTTTATTAGTTGAGTTCTAAATTCATTGATTAATTTAAGGGATGTGAAATTTACAAACGTTTCTTATTTTGTAAGTTTATGGAGTTTGTAATGTCATATTTGTTTATTGTATTCTTTGCTATTTCAAAGTCTTTAGATTTTATGCAGTTAAAACTGTTCCCTTTGGAAAACAATAAAGGGGCGCAGATCCAGTTCCAGAACAGCAGCCTGAGCAGCTCCTCCACCCAGTCTCCCAGGAGAATCTTATAACTGGTAAAAATTAAAAAAAAAAAAAATTAAAGTCTCTGGAAATTGTCCTAAGGCAACAAATAAAGAAATATTCATTCAAGAAAATCTACTAAATCTCCGTGAGAGCAGGGAGAGTCTGTGGCACTTAAGCCACAACCCTCGCCTCCCTTCACCCCAGTTCACCATGAGGGAAGCTCCACTCTGGGAGCATGTGGCTAAGAATGAGAGATGGCACTGTCCCTAGCTCCCAGTCCCAGGGCTCTGGTGCCTCCCTGGGAGGAGCGGGCTGCTAGCGTTTCTCATGCCCCTGCCTCTGTGTTGCAGAGGCTAAATTCCAGGCAGCTACAGCCAAGAGGTTAGGGCTTCCCTTCCTCCACCCAACCAGAGGTCAAAGGCTCCTTCTCAGATTCAGCAGGCCAAGAAAACTGAAGTCCAGGTCACCTTTGCCCGAGCTAGTTTATAGGGTGGAGGTTCCATGCGGGGAGAGGCAAGGTGAAAAGGCTACTGCCCTAGCCAGTACCGTGCTCAAAAAGCAGAGGTGTCCCTCTAGAAAAAGCGGGTCACTGTCTCCGCACTCAGCTCCACGGCAGTGGTTCAGATATTTTGCCCTAGGAGGAGAGGCATGACATACAAACAGAGATATCTGAAGTTTTCCCAAAGTAAACTAATTTGTTTGGAACAGAGTGTGGGGAAGTTCAAACCTAAGGATACTATCAAAAATAATGGAGATTTTGGTAGTAAGCGATTAAGAGGAGGCTAGTAACTTGATAAGAGCAGCAAGCTCAACCAGAGGTCAGCTATGTTGTCAGAGGAAACCAGTGAAAGAGACAGCTAGAAAGAGCCCTCCTAGGGTAAAAAAAAAAAAAAAAAATTAGACTTCCAGTTAAAAATGGCAAACTGAACACACATTTAATTTCGCTACTTCTCAAAAACCCACTGAAATAATAATCATTTTTATTTTTTAAGACAAACCTGCAAGGATGCGAATAGGAAAGGAAATCAATTTTGGAAACTAGAAAACAGAATGTCTTTAAACTTCTCAAAAATAACATGAAAGCTAGATGGAATGGAAGAAGGCTTTCAAAATTATAAAGGTGAATTATTTTTAACCTAAAATTCTATACTCCAACTTTGATTGATCAAGTTTAAAGGTAGATTAAAGAATAAATCAAGAAAAGCCTTTGATGCAGGAAATAGGAGATCCAACACAGGATAGAGGCAAAAGGAATCCCAGGATGGCAGTGGTGAAAAGAGATTCCAGCAGGACAGCTGTGTATTAGGTGTCAGGGCCCTCAGCCCAGACTGGAGCAGGTTGGAAGGTGCTGGAGGAGCCTTTCTCAGGAGGAGATCAAGTACCATGCATACAAACGTCCTGAAAAAAGACTTGAGGGTTGGATTAGTGTTAAGTACATAGAAAAGCAAGCAAACAAACAAACGAAAAATTAAAGCAATTATTATCTCCAGGGAAGACAAAAAGTTATGCAGGAAAGGAAATCATAATTTTCTATGTGGTTTTGCTACTCTATATGGTATTTACATAGTTACAATATTGTAGATACTGAATACTGATTTAAACAAGATTATAATATAATCTTATAATCTGGAAGGAGGAGGGAGATGGGACTTAAAGTTGTGGAATGTGGAGTCAGGAAGAAGCAAGCTAAATCTTCATCTCCTGTAGTTGAGAGTCATTAGATTATGCCTGAGACCGAAAAACCAAGAATAGCGATACAAGCATGATGTTTAGAGAACTGAGGTAAATACCTAAAGAATCAGCTAAAAGAGATGAAAGTGCTTGCTTCTGGAGAAAAGGAAGAGTGTGAGACTCCTGTTTTTCAAAACAAACTTTGAAGAATTATTTGACTCTTTAAAAACTATGTGCTTTATAACTTCCAGCAAATTGTTTCAGTTGTTTCACTCTCTTCCATATTGCATCACTTCATTCACTATGTTCAGTTTTCAGAGTAAATAGTTTATATCAGTACAAAAACGTTAATTTTGTCTCTGCTTTGAAGGCATTATTATGAAGGCTAGACTGGATATTTGGAAATCCTGCTTTTAATAATAACTGCTGCCGTTACTGCGTGTGTGGTAGCGTACCAAGCACTTTTGTACATTATCTCCAGTTTCCACAACAGCCGTGCAAAGTAGGTATTGTTCCATTTTACAGATGAGAAACTGACACTCAGAGAAGTTAAATAATTTGCAAATCTTTAGCAGAGCTCCCTGATCCAAAGCCTTTGCTCTTCCTTTCTGTTAGATCTCATCACTTCTTTCTAGGGATTGAGTTTAAAAGACCTACAAGGGGGAAAATGTAGCAGTACAAAGAACTCCTTTGGGTGGTAGGGGTGCAGGGGGAGGGGAAGAGAAACGCTGAAGGATTCAGCAATGTTGCTAAGTAGCTATCTACTGACTTAACCAAGCTTAACCCCAAATCGGAATTTCCAACTGGTCATGCGAGCAAAGGAAGCAATTTTTAAACTCTGGCTAGGAGCCCCTATGATGACAAAAATAAAAGCTTCATTCTGTTCTTATTTTGAAATAAGAGATGTTTCAGCTGCTTCAGCATGGCCCTAAACACCCTCGTGAGAACACTAAGAAAACAAGGTTTTGTGTCCAGAGAAGCCCAGGCATCCTACATAGCTGAAAAGGAGGGGACAGCTGGGCATAACTGCTTCCCAAGGGGTAATCTGGGTCCGAGATCTTGGACCAGATGATCTTGAAGGTCCCTTCTGAATAAGATTCTAGGTTGTGTTTATCTTGGAGTTTAAATCACTAGGAGCTTTGAAAGTGTTTTGGCCAATTTCCTTTCTGGAACTGTTGTGTGATATAATCAAGACGTTCACCTGGCTCTTTAAGTCAGTTGGTTGGTTGGCTCCAGGGTGGTGGGTACCGTATATGGTCCGGTGAACAACAAGTGTTGTTTACATTACTTCTTTCTCAAAAGTCATGGGCCACCGGCAAGTTAAGAAATGAAAGTGAAATGAAATCAGCTGATTCATGACGTCAGCCAGCACAAATGTACCAAAGTTTAAAGAGCTGTTTACTTAGGGACAACAACTGAGAATGTAAGCAGGTCCAAAGCTCAGGACTGCATCTATCTGCCACTGCCCTCTCCATTGTCCTTGTTTCTGGAGCCTGACATTAGGAAGCCAGCAAGAAACAAGAATCAACCGAACCTGATCTCCTGCTCCTCCTTTTTATGAGTATTTCTGTGGGTTCTGCATCTTCTTTTTGTAAGTACCTCCTCTGCGTGCAGTGCAGCTTGCCCAGATGCCTGCCACTTTGTAAGACGAGTTTGTTTTCTCCTCAGACCTTTCACGTTCTAGCAAGGGGCATGGGGAAATTATTGGTAGTCACTGTCTGTGGCCCTCCCATGTATGATCTACCCTCATACTCTCTGCTTGCCTTCCCTCCCTTCAGCATCACCCTGTGTGTCTCCAGCCTCAAAAATGGTAAGAGTAATGCCAGTATAACTGATTAGAAGCACACAGGGATAACTGTGGGCAGTAGGGTCTTGCACAAAGTCTGTACAGATAAACGTTTGTGGTGTGCAAAGTGGATTGTTCATCAGAAAAAGGCAGCCAAACAAAAGCAGATCACTATGTTATTGGACTACGTTGCTTCTCACACCTTGATGGAAATTCATAGTGGGATTTTAGTTCTGTTGGTACACATCTTAAAAGACTTTTTTTTAAGTGTGGGCTCTTTTCCTGATAACTTTGATTATGCTTCTTCACCTGTAAAACCAAAGGCTTCTTTGGGAAAGGAAAACAAAATACATGCATGTATGTGGTTCCTTCTTCCCTCATGACGATGAAAGGACATTTTTCAGTATCTTCTCCCTCCCTCCTGTCCCTCCCTAAGTCCTGGATCTGAGCGTCAGTTTATGGAACATGATGTTCTCCTTTCAATTTTTCACATATTCCCCTTTCTCAACTTTGTTCTTTCCAGCTTACTCCCTGCTTTATCTAATTACTAAGGTTTTATGTTTATTTGTTCTATAATTTCACTTTTTCATAAATATAACACAGAGATACCAGGGCTAACATTAACATTTTAGAATATTTCGTTAGTGTCTTTCTCACAGTTGTACTAGAGTATGATTTTAGACCTGGTTTTTCTAAAGGTTGCATAGAACTTCACTACCCTGATAGGTCACAATTTAATTCTAATGTTGGCCATTCAAATTGCTTCCAATTTTTTGCCAAAGTAATACGGTGATGAACATACCTGTACAGAAATCATTGACTCCATTTCTGATTGCTGCCTTAGGACAGACTCATAAGTGGAATTATTTGGCCAAAAAGATATGCCAAATTGCCTCCCAGAAAGTTTATGAGAATTTTCACATCACCATCATTGGATGAGAATGCCAGTTTTACTGCACTCTTGGTGTCAAGGGTTTTAACATCTGTGCCAATCTTCCTCCGTTTTATGTGGGACACCACCACAACATGGCTTGATGAGTGGTGCTAGGTCCATGCCCAGGATCTCAACCCGTGAACCCCAGGCCTCTGAAGCAGAGCACGTAAACTACACCACTGGGCGGACCCTCAAGTGTTTTTATCTGCAGTTTTGATAGGGAAACTCATAGATTATTTTACTTGGCAGATCTTTGATTACATTACATAAGGTATGTAATGTTGATGTGATATAGTGCTTTATAGTAAGAAATATATATTTGGTCTTTGCCCCATATCTGGCACAGAGCTCCTAAAACTTTTGGATTTCCTAAGTGATAAAGGGCTAAAGGTATCTTTTTTATTTATAACTACATCTTTCAACCACATCTGAGTCTATGTTAATGAGGTCACTTTTGGAAAGTCTCTAAGGATGGGGGCTGGTTGCCAGGGGAACCAACCATGTGATTAGAGGGTTGGAACTTTTAGCCCCACTCCCAACCTCCAGGGAGGTGAGTGGCTGGAGATGAGTTCAATCACCAATGATGATTTAATCAATCATGCCTATGTAATGAAGTGTCCATAAAAATCCCTAAAGTACAAGGTTGGAGAGCTTTCGGGTTGGTGAACACGCGGAAGTGCTGGCAAGGTGATGCCTGGAAAGGGCATGGAAGCTTCCCCGCCCCTTTCCCCCATCCCTTGCCCTATGCATCTCTTCTATCTAACTCTACCTGTGCTGTATCCTTTTATGTCAAACCTGTAATCTAGTAAGTAAACTGTTTTCCTAAGCTCTGTGAGCCACTCTAGCAAATTAATCAAATCCAAGGAAGGGTCATGGGAACCTCCCTAGCTGGTTGGTCAGAAGCACAAATCACAACCAAGACTTGTGATTGGCATCTGAAGGCAGGTAGGGAACATCTTGTGGGACTGAGTCCTTAAACTGTGGGATCTGATGCTGACTCCAGGTAGATAGTGTCAGAATTAAGTTAAATTGTAGGCCATCTATGTGTCAAAGAGAATTGCTTGGTGGGGGAAAACTCCCACACATTTGGTGGAGAGTACAGAGGAGGAAAAAACAGTTTTTTACAGTTAACTCCTTTGCATTTCTTCTTTTGTGAAATATCTCTTCATAGTCCTTGTCCATTTTTATGGGGGTTAATTTTTTTATCTGTTTGCATGAACATTTTATATGTCAGGTATATTAATCATTTCATATTTGTTGCAGATGTTTTCCATGCTCACTGACTTTTATATTGTTTTGGTTGTACAGAAATGAATATTTTAAATAGTTAAATCTGTAAAATTTTTTCTTTGTAGTTTCAATTTGCTTTTAAGTTCAGAGTGTTCTTTCTCATTCATAAATCAAATATTTACCTTTTTCTAGATCTTTTAAAAAATCGGTTCATTACATTTCACTCGTAGATCCAAATGAAATTTATTTTGGTATGTGGAGTGACATGAGGACCTGCAATAGTTTTGTTTTCAGTTAACTAATCAGTTGCTTCAGTATTAGTTAATGAAAAACCCTTTCTTCCACTTAATTATGATGCCACTTTTATCGCATATTAACTTCACATATAGGGCTTTTCTGAGACATTCTCCTCTCTCGAGCAGTTGGTCCAGTACCCCTGCCTTCTGTTCTATTTGGCCCAATCCCCATCCCCCGACCCCGAGTTATTTCTAGGAATTTACCTGGGAGCTGGCTCCTGCTTCACGGATTCTGGCCTGCCTTAGGCCTCCAAGCGATACATCTTAAAGTGAAGTAATAAATACAACAAATATCTTTGGAAGTTCCATCTTCAAATATGTGGACAGTATGCTCTCATGAGCACCTGAGATCTTGCAGAGCTTTACTTTGTACCCCTGGGCTCACACCCCCTCAGCTGTAGCTCTGTCAAATGCCAAAAGTAAAACAATTTGGTAACGAGGTTACTCGCGCCTTTATTCAAGGGAAAACAATCTAGGGACGGGTGAAGTACAAGTCCGCACAGGCAGCGGAGACTCTTCCAGAGGGATCCGGGGCAAGAGCACGTTTACAGAGCGTGGGGAGAGGTCACCTGGCACACCTGATGGGCTGGGAGTCCAGGCCTTCCATGTAGGCTGCAGGGCCGCTCTTCTAGGGTCACGTGAGCTGGCTCACGCTGAGTTGGAGGATTGTGATTGGCGTATGTTAGGTTTCCTGGCAGCAGCTTCAGGGGCAGGCTGACTTGGATTCGATTGGGTGGGCAGGGCCACTAGGACGGCCCCCATTTTGTGGGTCCTGATATACGAATTCACTTTATTGGCTCAAACCCAGCCTTCAGTAGACTTTGGGAAGTGAATCCCCAGGTCCCCAGCGTTTTTATTAGGACAGGTACCTTTTGTCCACATGGCAGCGGTAGGGAGGTGGGGGTGCTGACGGCACAGTCTCCGGACAGAGCAGAGAACGCGAGGAACGCCATCTCTGCCCTTGCGCCCAGCACGTCGGGAAGCAGAAGGCCGCAGTGGTTGAGCCCAGCAGTGGCCGGGGAAAGCTGTCCGAGGTTCCCAATACTGGCGTGAGGGGTGCACGGGGAGGCCCCCTAGTGTCTGCTACTCCATTTGTCTGTGCTTTGCTTTCTTTGAGTTATTTTGGCGTGGTTTGAAGCCATTTCAAAGCATTACAAACTCTCCAGGTGAGAACCACATCCTCTCTGGTGGCGATGGAGGTGAAGTTTGTGGAAAACTTAACCTCTCTTCCAGCCGACTCTCAAACACCTTTTGCAGAAGTTAAGGTCTAGGTCTCGTGACTGTCCCTTGTTGTTTACCTCCTCCTCGACTTTTCTTTTGACTGTTAGGTGCAAACTGCATTTCATAGGCCTTGGTCTTTCCAGCAGGCTGCTCGGCAGAATTGTCATAACGCCTGGCATTGCTGCACTCATCCCTGACTCAGCTCCTGTCTGCACTTTCAGCCCCCCATCTGGGGGCCTAGCTCCTGATGTCTGAGGGAGTAGGGCAAGAGTGAATGGAGTGCTTGGCTAGAAGGATATAATCCCGACCTCTGACCCTGGCCTACAAGGTCTCAGGGAGCTTGTTTCTGCTCACCTGTCCAGCCTCATCTCAACCCCTCTCCTCAGTCATTGGGCTGCAGCCTCCCTGACCTCAGGTCTGTTCCTCTCCCAAGCGGGTGTTTAAAACTACTGCATTCTCAGGGCAGCCTGGTGGCGCAGTGGTTAAGTGCCCATGTTCAGCTTTGGTGGTCCGGGGTTCACCAGTTCGGATCCCGGGTGTGGACATGGCACCGCTTGGCAAGCCATGCTGTGGTAGCGTCCCACATATAAAGTAGAGGAAGATGGGCACGGATGTTAGCTCAGGGCCAGTCTTCCTCAGCAAAAAGAGCAGGATTCGTAGCAGTTAGCTCAGGGCTAATCTTCCTCAAAAACAAAACAAAACAAAACTACTGCACTCTCTTTCTGGAAGGCTCTTCTCTTGGCCCAGACCAGGGATGGCCGTTTCACATCCCTCAGCCTCAAAGCAGATGTCTCCTTTGCAGACATTTCCTAGACTCATCACTTCTTCCTGCCAGTTTCTCTCCTTTCCTTCATCCTATGTCCTTCCCAAACCTTTGCAAAAATTATAATTATCTTTTTCTGCTGAGCAAGATTCTCCCTGAGCTAACATCTGTTACCAATCTTCTTCTCCACCCAACCCCCCAACTTGAGGAAGGTTAGCCCTGAGCTAACATCTATGCCAAGCTTTCCTCTATTTTGTATGTGGGTTGCCGACACAGCATGGCTGATGAGTGGTGTAGGTCTGCGCCCAGGATCAGAACCGTTGAACCCAGGCCAATGAAGCAGAGGGTGCTGAACTTAACC